CGATGCTCCTTTGAATCCCATGAGGTCAAAGCTGCAGGATAAAATAAAGTTCTCGCAACAATGGGGACATATACTTTCTCTGAGCTCTGCGTAAAACGTGCCGCTGCGTTGTTCACTTCCACAACAAGCCCGTCAGAGTCCCACAGATTTCGCTCCGTTGCGTTGCCTCGGCCTCCCAGACAAACTTGGGAAAGCTGACTCAAGCGTGCTCTTTCTTTGATGAATTCCTCGTGGGAATTTTCATTTGCATAATATCACCTCACAACCATGATGTCAATGGCTTCGTGTACACCACCAACACCATCTCAGCAAGTGGTCGAGTGCTTCACAAACGATAGTGCTAGCTGTCCATTGTCCAGCAGCTTCGTCGCGGGAGCGACATAGCGTCCTGATGTGTTGTCGCCCTTGAGTGTCCATCCAGGCAAGGTGTCAATTCTATCGAACAGTATTTGGAACTGACCATAGGTGTAAGCAAGCAGCGAACACTTGCATATCCTCCAAAAAGCAAGCGTGAAAATCCAAACTCGACAACCTTCCATCCATGTCAACCGATTGAATGGAGTCAAGTCGAAGCGAATGGGGAGTTGATGGAGTTTGGGACTTTATAAAGAACCTTCTTTGAACGTACTTGATGTGAACGAATTCGAATCACCACGCGCTGACATCTCCAGCTTTCTCTGTCGACGGGGTCGATATGCCATGGGCGAGTGGCCGGCCGTGAGGACGTCGACTTGTTGCGAGTTGAGGGCACATTGACGGGGGATGAATCGTTTGGTGTTCAAGTCATTTTTCTACTGTGTTTACAGAAATATAAAATCGCAGCGTTCCTTCGAACACCAGCGGTTCGACTTTTGTCTAACTCCATGAGCTTGCGCAGGGCACAGCTAGCCCCTGGTTTCGTCGAAGGTAGGACACCTGCCCACTGCAGGTTATCTGCGGGAGGGTCAGGGCATTTCAAAGTCGATCAAAAATCTTAAATTCACCTACGTGAGGGCACAATTCCGTGCCAACATCATTCCGTGCCACCAGTGTTATTGGTCAATTTTCGACGAATCAAAACAAGTATTTACCTCTCAAACATGGCATAACTCTGAATATTCTATAACATTGAACCCCGCGAAAGGCGGCAAAACAACCCGCGAAATCGACTTTCCCATGTAGCCTGAAGGCTCATTTGCGAAAATTCTCTGTCTTCGGCAGCCGGCTACCACCCCCCATCCCCTTGCCGTTGCCACGGTTGGTTCATGGAACGGGACGCCCCTACCATACACGCAGCCATGGAAGCAGTGAGGTCCAAGCGCATGTCCACTCGGTCGGCAGCATGCCACTTCGGGGTTGGCCGCATGATGCTACAACGACGCATTTCTGGGACAGTGAAACTAACGTCACGCAACGGGCGAGACCCCATACTCACTGCTGGAGAGGAGCTCGGCATTGTCGAAGCTGTCAACGAACGCACCCTCCACGCCCAGTGTTTCACCATGACGGAGCTCGCCGACTTCATCCGTGTCTGTATTGAGAACAGCCAGTACACACGTGTCGTGCCTGATACGTTCCCATCAGTTACCTACGTGAAGACGTTCATTAAGCGCCATGCTGCGCAATTCTCAACACGCAGTGCTCAAGCCATGGAGGCCGTTCGCGCTAAACGAAGCACAGTGGAGGTTGTGGAGGCTCACTACGCGAACATTGCAAAGGTGCTGGAGGACAACAACGTGGAGCCGGACTGCATCTGGAACCTCGACGAGACAGGGGCTTCTGCCCAAGGGTCGCACAACAAGTCCAAAGTCCTCGCCACCAAAGGCATGCCAGCCAATGCCCAGCGCCCCGACAGCAGACAAAACGTCTCGGTGCTCGTGTGTGTGAACGCAAGTGGTGGTCATGTTCCACCGTTCTTTATCCTGCCTGGCACGAATGTCTGTCAACGCACGACGCAAGGTGGCTTGCCCGGTTCCAATTTCGCGGCAACACAAACGCCATTTCTTTCAACGAAGCTGTTCATTCAGTACTTTGAGTGATTCACCAAATGCATTGGCCCCAAACGACCTGTCCTGGTGCTTATGGATGGCTATAAAGCTCATTGGTCTCTCAAGACTATAAACTACGCTCGGTCCCACGGGATCCTCCTGTATGCTCTGCCCTCCCATACATCCCATTTTTTGCAACCTTTGGACGTTTCCGTGTTTTGCCACTTCAAGCGTCTGCTTGATGTCGAGTTGGCCCGGTTTCGTGTCGAGAACTCTCGATTTGCCTCAACTGACAACATGGTGTCGGTAGCGTCGAAGGCTCTGTCGCAATGTTTGACCCGTACATACATCGTCAGTGGATTTGAGAAGACGGGTGTTTGTCCGTTGTCGCGTGACATCATGTTGGCCAAGATTGTGGGTGACAAGCCTGGGCCAAAAGCAGCAGCAAAGAAAGTCGGTGCAGCTATTACAATGACGACCTCGTAAACTCGTTCTCTATTCGAAAACCCGTCCCCAAGAGCGACGACGAATGGGTTCACGGTGGCTGCTTGATGACTGCCGATGATATTGTTGTTAAGATAGCTGACAAAGAAGCAAAAAGAGCAGAAAAGAAAGAGCAAATTCAAAAGAAGAAAAAAGAAGTAGCAGAAAAAAAGTTAACTGCTGCGCATGCCAAAAAAAAGGCAGATGATCGGCGTCGCGAAATGAGGGAAAGAAAACTCATGGCGTTGGAAGATGCCCGGAAACCAATTCGTCGCAAGAGACGACATTCAAGTATTAGTGACATGATTGAAATAATCGAGTTGTAAATA